GTGATGTTCCTCCAGGAAGAACAGAGCCCTGGACGTGAAAACCAGGAGGACAAGGAAGAGGTGAGGAGGCCTCCTTCTTCCGATGACGCTTGTCTCTTTGCACAGACTTCTTCTGATGGTTTGGAGGCCTCTCCTTTGCACTGCTATATCTCAGGCAGAGTGGGATGATGTGGAACCGGAGAGATGGAGGGTGGGGGTGTCAAAGGCCATCTAGTCCAAGCGCCTGTTCAAGGCAAGAAAGCGGAAGCTCACGCCTCCTGGATGGATGGATGGATGCATGGCGGGCTGCCCAGCCCTGCTCAGAGACCTGCCATGGGGGAGAGAGACCACCCTGTTGAGAATTTCAATTATACGTGGATTCTCATAACATTAGCCAAGTAAGGAGATATTAGTTTGCATAGACACTATGACTCTGAGAGAGTAAACCATCAGCTTAGTCTATTCACATATATGCAGAGAGAACAGACATTCATCTGGCAGCTTAACATGTCATGACGCACGACACACAGCACGGGGGAAAAAGTGATCTGACTTAACAGCAGATAAAATTTCCCTTTTACACGTGACTTATGTATGGTTCCGGGACCAATCAAAAAAATAAATGATTTCATTTTCAGTTACACAAAGTTTCATCATGTACCACAGCTGTACAACATTAAGTCCCAAACTTCAGTAACTACATCTGAACACAATCAGTATAATGACTCAGGTAAAATCAGGCTTTTTACATTTAACTAGACAACATTTATATTTAATACCTACTGTAGTCGCATCAAAATCTCAACACACCTGCCCAACCCTCCTCGGGGACAGGACACATGGTCAGACACCTCTGCTGCTCATAAAACTAAATGCATTCGGGTCAGCAAAAGAGGCACGCATGCACACGCACGCACGCACGCATGCACGTGCAGAACTGACACGGCCAGGTAAAGGTGGCTTCCCTGTGCAGCGCCTTCCATTTTGATGAGTCCTGACTCACCTTGGGGATATTTTTTTACTTTTCTTTTGTTTTTGCCTGATAGCACATTTTTAAAGGAATAATAAATACAACAAAGGTGGGGGGACGTGGGGCAGGGGGGAGACACTTATCTGATTTCTCTTCCATTTTGTCTTTAATCAGGAGAATATTAGCAGAATTAAAGCCACATAGTCCAAAACAGTCATCAGCAACATTTATTGTTACAACCACCAGTCAACCATTAAGCAACAGACCAAAGAAATGAAACGGATGCCCTTTACAAACAAAAGAAATTCACAGGAGTATTACCTGCAGGGGGAAAAACTGCATCTCTTCATTACAGCTGTGTGTTATTTCTAGTACACTGGATGCAGAGTTTCCCTATAGAGGATTGAGTGCCTTTTCATCTGGGAGTCTCATCTTCCAGCACTATCTGTTGTTTCATTTTGGATGACCTATCATAGGGTTTTCAAGATAAGAAATATTCAGAAGTGGTTTATCCTTGCCTTCTTCTAACAACTGATTCTCTTTTGTCAATGTGACCATTACTCCCAAAGAAGGTGTACGCATCTTAGCCTGGTGTCTCCGTTTTGAACATTTTGCCTTGGGTGACCCTGCCAGGATTCTGAACGCACTGCTCTCGGCTTCCCTGACACCCTCGTACCCCCTCATCACATGGGGGGGGGGGAACTGAAGAGAAAGAAATAAACCACATAGTTTATTTAAATTCTGTTTTTTTCCCCCTGCCAGGTAAGACAGGTGTATGTGGTGAGGCTGAGAAGAATCTGAAGGGGGGGTGGAATTTTTTTTTTGAAAATAGGCTGGCTCATTTAGGATGGTCTCCTTGGGCAGCCCTGCTGGGGCTCAAGATCCATAATAAAATCTAGCCATCTGATGCTATGGCTCTCAGCTTCCTTGACACACTCAAACCTTCCTGTCATGTTAAAGAGGGGCAGGAGGAGCTTCTTAACTGCACTCCAGATGGATTCCTCTCTGGATTCCTCTCTGGATTCCTCTCTGTGGATGAGTCTGTCTGGGACTGAAGACAAAGCCACAGAGCAATTGTTAAAAAAAAAAAGCATGACAGTGATACGATAAGGGTAGTGCCAGACCACCGTTCTGCTTCTTCGGTTGCCCCCCGTCCTTCTGCTCTGCTCTGGTGGGGAGACCCATCTTGCCAATGCTCTGCCAGCCCACCCTGTGTCCACACCAAACTCTAAAGAATGAAGGAAAAAAGACCTGTTATTTTTACAATCTATGTCAGCATCCTTCAGTCTTGAGGGACGATGGTAATGTGCTTTGAATAGTAGACGTGGAACAGCATCTACTGTGGCTGAGGAGGCCAATTCGAGAGGAACCATCCCTTCCACAGTGAAGAGAAATGCCATCTGTCCAGCTCCCTGGTTTTGCTGGTTTCAGGACTGCTGAATCACAATCACAGGGAGACCTTGCAAAGTCGTACTTAGGGCATCCCTGTCCAGCATCCTGGTTTTGCTGGTTTCGGGACTGCTGAATCACAATCACGGGGAGACCTTGCAAAGTCGTACTTAGGGCATACCAACTTTCTCTGACAAGGGGCCCCTCAAACGTGCTTGACTACAGTTCCCACTATCCCAGTCAGCCTCATGGGATTGCAGTCCTGCAGATCTCCAGCGCCTTAGGTTAGGGTTGGAGCAGTATGATGATGGAACACATAGCCTCAGGAGGAGGTGGTGGAGCAGGTATGAAACTTTCACCTAAACGGATAAGAAAGAGAAAAACCCAAGATCTCAGAACCCAGATACTGATCCCAAGGTTGTCTGAGCTGGATTGGTCTCCTCGGCAGCTTTGGGAGCGGCTTCGCACGTGGCAAAGTATTCACGGAAGGGGCTTCAGAGGCCACGTTGGCTGCTTGCGCTCTGCGGTTCAGGGAGGCTGCTCCAGAGCCTTGTACATAGAAAAGCAGGCTGACAGGGCAAGCCACTGGGTGGGAAAGCACAACGCTTTACGTTCCCTTGCAGAAGTTGCCAGGATTGATCCCCAGCACCTCCTAGGACCAAGTCATATGCAGCAGTCCTTACCTAGGCAAAAATCATGCCTGCTGAAGAACCACACAACTTTAACATTGACAGTGAAGAAATCAGAATAGTGAAAGATTTTGTACACCTTGGCTCCATCATCCATCCAAATGGGGGCTGCAGCAGCCAAGAAATCAGGAGAAGGCTCAGACTCGGAAGGGCAGGAATGAAGGGATTAGAAAAGATCCTCAAGGGTAAGGATGTTCCTCCGAAAACCAAGATACAAAATACCAACAGGGATTCGGGAAAACTGATGCTGGGTTATATGCTACTCAGTTGTTTATGTCTGGAAATCAACAGTGTCTGTGCTGGATACTGTGTTTCTAGTTCTTACTCATTTTGAGATCTTTAGAAACAAACAAGCGAAAAAAGGAAAGCAATTTCAGCATATCATCTATCAAGATTTTTGAAGGTGGAAATGCTGCCGTATTCTTTGAAAATAAGGCGTTTCTTTCTCTTACCAATTTGGAGCCTTTTTGGGACAAACCTACCAACCTTTGGATTAAGAGCAGAATGTCTGAAAAGCTATTTGGCAATTGAGATGTTTCCTTTTTGAAACTGCTGAAAGTGACAGAGGAATATGTGAGAGAAAATTTTGCATGCTAAAGGTTCCAGGCTGGGTCCTGCTGATATCTGAATAAATAATCAGGGAGCCAATGATCGGGGGGGGGGGGAGGACATTCTGCCTCAGTGCCTGTGTCAGCCAGCACTGCTGAACTATTTACTTTATTTTTCACACATGTGCTTTTCTGCCACTCAGGGCTCCCAAGGTGAAGTAGGAGGGGTAGTAATACTTTTTAAACACAGATTATTGAAGTGCTGTTTAAAAATCAAGCCTAAAGCCAGCTTCTAAAGTACACTCAAACCAGTGCAAGGTGGAAGCTCAACAGGGATGGAGCCAGCTTGGACATCTTGTGGGAGGGAGTCCCACAGTTAGTGGGTTGCCACAGAGAAAGCCCAGTCTTCTGCGTATTCACCAACCTAAGCTGCCAGGTGGTGTGACCCACAAGGGAGCCCACATGGGAGGCCTCCGTTTCTGGGCTGGTTCATTGCCTGGCCCTAACTGATTTAGTGCTGTGTATATCACAACTAAAGTACCAAATTATTGTTGTTGTTTAGTTGTTAAGTCATGTCCGACTCTTCATGACCCCATGGACCAGAGCATGCCAGGTCCTCCTGTCTTCCACTACCTCCCGGAATTTGGTCAAGTTCATGTTGTTCGCTTCGATGACCCTGTCCAGCCATCTCGTCCTCTGTCGTCCCCTTCTCTTGCCTTCACACTTTTCCAACATCAGGATCTTTTCCAAGGAGGCTTCTCTTCTCATGAGATGGCCAAAGGATTGGAGCCTCAACTTCAGGATCTGTCCTTCCAGTGAGAACTCAGGGTTGATTTCCATCAGAACGGATAGGTTTGTTCTCCTTGCAGTCCAGGGGACTCTCAAGAGCCTCCTCCAGCCCCACAATTCAAAAGCATCAATTATTCGGCGGTCAGTCTTCTTTATGGTCCAGGTCTCACTTCCATACATGGCTACTGGAAAAAGCATAGCTTTGACTATGTGGACCTTTGTCAGCAAGGTGATGTCTCTGCTTTTTAAGAAGCTGTCGAGGTTTGTCATCGCTTTCCTCCCAAGAAGCAGGCATCTTTTAATTTTGTGGCTGCTGTCACCATCTGCAGTGATCCTGGAACCCAAGAAGGTAAAATCTTTCACTGCCTGCTTATCTTCCCCTTCTATTTGCCAGGAAGTGATGGGACCAGTGGCCATGATCTTAGTTTTGGAACTAATGATTATGGAACAGCTGACTAGCTCAGTGGTTTAGGTCTCTGGCTGTGGAGTCAGAAGTTGGGAGTTCAACACACACACATCCTGCGCCCCACTGGGCCTCCTGGGAGAAAAGCCACCCCACCCCCATGCCCCACTGGGCCTCCTGGGAGAAAAGCCAGCTGGGGTGGCCTTGGGCCAGCTGCACAGTGGTCCCAGCAGATTCCCCATAAGAAAGGAAAGGTAAAACACCTCTTGGTATTTTCTACCATGAAAAAGAGTAGCCACAAGTCAGAACTGATTTGACGGCACGTCATGATCCTCATCAGTATCATTGTCACATCCAAACTACACTAGCTGGAAAGGTCAGTGAGTTAGATTCTGGCTGCTGAGTCAGGAACAGTGATTATGTATACAGTATTCGGTGGTTTGATTTATAAGCAATACGGGGAAGAAGTCCCAGCATTTGTGTCACTGATAAACAGGTTTGACACAGCAACAGTTTAAGAAAATTGCCTCGTGAAGGACTGTGGGGTGTGATGAATTGTTCTGTTGGTGCGTGCCACATTTTTGTCTTTTAATTTTAATTAACCCCGATTTCTTTTTTGGGTCTGATCATAATTTTCCCTGTGGGCAAAACCCGCAGGCTTTGAACTCTCAGGTGCTGCCAGAATATTTCTGACAGCTTTCAAAAGCCAAGGCACAAAAACAGGGGTGGGTGGTGCGGGTGAGGAAAGGGAAGAGTTTAACAGAAATGGGAAAGAGAGCTGAGCATCTCTCAGACGTTGGTCGGCCGGGCGCACCTCTCTTGGGATCAAGGCGGAAAGGAAGCAGAGAGTGCTTCGAAGCCACTTAGCAGGATGCTTGGGTTGGAGGAAAGGGTGCCGGGCGGGCGAGGCGGAGAGGTTCCAGCTTTCTCACCACGGCTGAGTGGGCAGCCCCTTCCTTCCTTCCTTCCCTCCCTCCTTCCTCCAGGGCTCTCTCACTAAAAATGGTGCCCCTCACTGCAAAAGGTGCTAAAAGCAAAGCCCTGTCTGGCAGATGATTCCTGGGCAAAGATGGCCTCGTTCTTCTGTACTGAAGGGCTAATGCTCCCCTTAAGAGACATTAAGGCCCCTGCAGGGGAGGGGAGGCAGGCCTGCACGCGGAGGAGGAACCGCCGACACACAGGAGCGATCCAGGGATCTGCTTGATCCATGGATCTGCTTGATCCATGGATCTGCTTCCGGGGCTGCCTTTGATTCTAAAAGGGTGAAAGAAAGGAGAAGGGCAGAAGACAGGAAAAACCCCCACCAAGAAGAGCCAGGCTTTGATTTGGGAGCAGCCAAAAGTCTGGATACTTCCCTCCCTCCCACCAACTCCCCTGGAAACTTTGGGGCTGCTAGCTAGGAAGCTCAGGAGAAGATGAGTAAAAGATGACACACTTCTGAGGAAGACTGTTTCCTTCTGGAGTTCTAGCCTTCCCTTGCAAGACACAGAGTTAAAAGTGGTCTTAGAGAGAGGGGGGGGGGCATTCATCACCTCTGTCCAAGGCATGCACGCATGCACAACCACACACACACAGAGAGAGAGAGAGAGAGAGAGAGAGAAAGAGAGGCATTACTTTCATCTCATTGTTGGTTCCGGTTAAACAGGTTCTGCAGGTTTTCCACCAATGGAAAAACCTACAAAACTTGCCTGAGCAAAGGCGAGAGCTGATTGAGTGAATCCACCCAGTGCAAACATCCCATTTTCAAACCCATGAATGAACACATCTCTCCTTCCAATGCTTTGCTTTTGTTTTGAGTTTCTTGTTGAAATGTGGAGAAAAGAGTGGGACGGAAATAGAAAGAAATCAAGGGCCTTCCAGCATAGCCATTTTCATCACCCTAACAGCTTCGGTCTAGTTCAACACAATATCTGAGTGCAGGTTTTCCTGCACGACAACCCCTCTGCTTAGATCTGCATTTGTTAAAATGAAATAAAGAATTTGGGGGGGGTGTGTGTGCTTCCAATCCCTGAATCCTTTTGGCAGACGATGGTTTCCAAAAAGGACATCCGTCCTGGCCTGACCTTCCTTAAAGGACACAATCAACTTGCATTGTTGCCAATATAAACAAGACGTCATTTGAACACAAAGTAAATGCTTCCTAGTTGTTTTTCTGGCAACAGCCTATACATCAAAGAAGCACAAAGGGATGGCCCAACTGGAAGCCAGCAGAGGGGGGGTGCCTTTTATTTTAGGTGTCCTTAGGCAAGGGGCAGAGCAGGGGGACAATCTCCAGCAATGGTCTCCAGCAATGGAGCATGTCCCAAGAAGGAATTTGGTGTGGGAGGGAAAGAGTTCTGCCAGGCATGCACAGAGTGTGTGTCGGTTGCCACAAAGACAAGGTGCATGAAGCATGCCTTCCCAGCAGTCCTCAGCTTTGGTACCTCTCTGTCCAAGCTGTGCAGGTACACCAAAAAAAGGCACACACCCCTATTTTTTATTTCTCCTGCCCCACCTCCATCCCTAAGAAATCACAGCACAAATCACACACACACACACACACACACACACACACACACACACACACACACACACACACACACACACACACACACACACATTGTCTAAAACATGCGACCTCCGTGATCAAACTGAGCGGTTGCACATCAGCCTTCCTAGTACACACACACACACACACACACACACACACATTGTTTCAAAGTTGGCATGGTTCCAGAACAACCCGGCTTGTCAGCCCTTGGGCCAGAGAGGGTTTGCCCACTTCTCCAGCAAGGAGGGGCAGGTGAATGGGTGGGGGCCACCCTTGTGTCCTGCCACATTCTATGGGTCCAGCTCTTTTTGTATCTCCCCACGAATAAGGACCTATTCATCCCACACATCTATGTGTTGGTTTAGCTTGATTGCAGCTGCCACCGCTTCTTGCAAAGAATCTTGGGAGTTGTAGTTTAGCAAGAGAATCTCTATCAGAAAGTTCTGCCCCCAGGCCTCACAAAAACTTCATTTCCCAGAGTTCGTTGGGAAGACAGAATTACTATTATTATGATGTGCTTCTCCAGGAGGAACCGAAGTGCAGTGACCTTAGCAGAGTTTTCAAGGTAAGTGCAATATTTAAGGAGTGGTTTAACCATTCCATTCCCCCCACCATTCAGTTTCTATGGTCAAACAGGAATTTGAACACAGGTCCCGGTCCTTCGCTCTACCCACTTCGCCACCCTGGTGAGGACGAGCGGGTGCGCGCGGCTGCACACAGTCCTGCTGAAAACCCAGGAAGATTCATCTGTGTGAACAAGATAGAAATCTTGGAGGGATCTTAATAGGCCATTTCCTATGCCAGCCTCATGGGCTCGGCAGAAAGTTAGCAACCCAAGATGTATCATCATCTACAGCAGGGGTTCCCAAACTGGAGTCCTCAGCGGCTCCGTTCCCAGAAGCCCCAGCCGGCATGAATAACGGTGAGGCATTCCGGGAGTTGTAGTTCAACAACACGGGAGGGTTCTAGCAGGGCTTTGTGATAGGTGGCTTTCTAGGCACCTCTGAAACGGCCGCCGGCATCTCTCCGGGCAGTTAGTTTTGCTGTCAAGTGGCTCTTGCAGCTGCCAAAAGGACATTTCTATGAACGTTAGCCCAGATCCACTTCCCGAATATTCTTCTACTTGTGGCTTCGCCTCTCGCTCCCTCTGGAGCAGCCGAGTGCAAGCCTGCTCTGTCTTCAGACCTGCTGATGTTTGAAACCTGCTGTCCCCTCTCTCCCCGTCTCCTCTTCCCCAGATAAAACTGATCAAGCGCTTTCGGGCACCCCATGGAAGGTCTGATTCTCATGCCCTGCACTGCCGGTTTCGCCTTCCTTTATGCTTCAGTTTCTTGACTTTCTTCTTAAAAACCCGGCATCCTGATCAGTTGTGGGACGGTCGGCCTGGAAGTGCAGCGGCTCATCAGGACAGTCCCCAGAGCCAGCCCTGCCCCATAAGGGGAACGCCAAAATGTGTGGGTCCACTTCACCAAATAAGGAGCAAGTCTTTTGGAAAGCTAATGGCTCTCAATGGCCCATTCAAAATCCATTTACCCTTATATATTTTATAGTACAACAGGAATACCTCATAATGATGATGATGATGGTGATCATCATCATCTTAGAACTGCAGGGGTTGTCAATGAGGCACCACGAGGGATCAGACTCCCAGTCTCCTGCTCGGCAGCCCGATCCCTAATATCCAGAATTGCACAGTTCCTGGGAATCGTAGCTCGTCTCAGAGGGAACAGGAAAGGCTCAGGAGATTGACAAAGGATGTCAAAGTCCCTGTTACTCTAAATTTGTACTGTGAGCCCTGAGTCCACTTACACCACGAATCCTGACCTGGGCCAAATGCTCCGAATGGGGCAGGGCTATTGCAGAGCCCAACGTTTCCCTCTTGTGTGTAGGATGTGATGCTTCTGATTAAGTTTCCTACAATTGGATTAGGGTTTCCCGTCGTCCCGTTGTTGTGCTGACTGATGTCCAGCCGAAAAGCCAAACAGCGACTAAGAAAACCACCTGGCCCCTTCTCCTGCCTTAACAGCTCTCTTCCTCTGCATTTCACCTCCACGCCGATCGCCGATCCTCTGAGGAGGAGAGTCCGTGCCGGGCCCAGGACTCTGCAGGAAGTTTTGCTTGACCTCAAAACCCCCTGATGCCCAGTCCCTCCACAGCTCCGATGAGGGGAAGGAGAGATTCAGCTGGCAGCCCAGACCTGCCAAGCGGCCCAAGCGTTTACAGCCAACAATCACTCCTGTGTGCAGGCACAACATTCAGGAGGGAGGGGCAGCCCACGACTGCAGCCGGATCCGGTCGGACAGACCTGGTACTGTATATATAACGACTGCAAAGGTGAGCTCTCGCTTCCTTCCTCCCCGGGCCACTCCAAGGGCATGGCTACCAAGGTGGACGTGAGAGTGAGTGGCCACCCAGGAGCTCTAGCCGGGGCACGGGAGCACCTTCATGCGGTCACCAGGGACTACACCACCCATCCGAGGCTGAGTGAGTATGTGTGAGGGACAGTTTGAGTTGTGTACCCATTTTTTGGGACATCACCTTCCCTGATTTTTTGACTCTTTGATGTTGTTTGTGCACAGGTGTGGGTGTGTTTTCTGGGGGGAAAAAAGAAAAGGAAAATGAGAAGTAGCCACCCTGAAATCTGCACGGATTTCACACCTAATACAGCAGGGCCTCAAAATTGCACCCATTGTTTAAGACAAGCCACCAGATTTCAAATACTGTAAGATGCATCCCTCAGTTGAAATCCAAGCCTTACTTTGGTACTGCATGAACGCCCTTAGTCATAAAGCTCACAGCTTCCTTCCTGGACTATTATGCCTCTCTTTTTTTCTTGCCTTCTGTCAAAATACAGAGAAAACCACATCTAGATATTCCAGAACAAACCATTTAAAAAACCAGCAACAGCCAGCTGGGTTTAACAGTAAAGCTGTGAAACTCCATCTTCTGAAGTTCCAGGTTAGCCTTGAGTACGGAGTTCTGAGCCCTAGGGTTATCTTCCGCTTGCAAAATAAGGCTAACCAGAAAAAGACCTCACCTGTTCCAAGCCTAGGGAGGATCTTCCACCTTTGTGGGAAAGAGACACCTTCTGTGAGGCGTGACAGGCTTGGGTTCACCTTGCCTACCTGTACAATATCTAAGGTGGGGGGGAAAAGTCCTTTAAAAGAGAGATTCCTTCTGGGACCCTTGTTGTTCCAGACCCATCCATGTTATAACAGCTACAGGAACACAACATTCATGTGTGTTTAGGGATGCTCATTCCAGACCCATCCATGTTATATAACAGGAGCACAACATTCATGTGTGTTTAGGGATGCTCAAGTGTGGCCTGAGTCTATGTTAAGATAAATATCATTTTAAGCATGTGGTCTGATGCGAGATGCACAGATGGAGGGAGAAGAACCTTGTGTGTTTGGAAAGCTGTTAGAGGTGCAGACAGGAAAATGAGAAGATAATGTATGATGCCTTAGAAGCAGGGTGGTGGAATGGAAATTCAGAGCAGCACGAGCGCGCAGAAACTTTTGGAGAAGACTGTAAAATATGTATTTAAGTATATTTAAGTACTCTTAAGACTCTGGGGAGGGGGAACAAGGTTTGAGAGGATTTTGCAGTATGGGTTTGACGCATCAACAGGTAAAGAAAGACCCCTAACGCTGTTACAGAATGGCGAGTTGTACCAGCGTCTTCATTCAGTAACAGAGTTATGGGTCTTTTCTTTACCTGTTGATGCATCAACCCCATACTGCAAAATCCTCTCAAACCTTCTCCTATACAGCAGTGATTCAGATAGGAGAAAAGAATGCCTGGCTTGTCCTGTGGACAAACCTCCTAGGGCATAAATGAAGAGAAACACTTTCTGTGGTCAGCTTGTTAGTAGTTGGTTCTTTGAGGATGAATTTTTATTTATTTATTTATTCATTCATTCATTCAATTTATACCCCGCCCATCTAGACCGAAGTCTACTCTGGGTGGCAAACAATAACGAAGACAAGTAAAAACAATATAATAAAATACAGGGTGTATTGGAAGGGAAATAGACTTGAGCAAAAAAAGGAAAGGAAACAAAAAAGCTGACTTCTGCTCCCAGAGGCAGTGGCACCCTGGCATCCTTTCGCTGTCACTGAAAACAGCCGCCTGATAATTAACACAGCCCATCTCTTTGTCTGTTGGAATGGGCAGGTTTCTCTTGTTGTGAGATTCAGTATACACCCCCCCCCCGCCATGGGGCTGATGTGGTGGGACTGACTTTTGTTTATGTCAGAGAGAGCAAGAGAGAGAGAGAGAGCGCACGCATGGAAATGGAAATGCCCAGAACTTGGAAAAGGTTGGTTCGGGGACTTCTGGTCACAGAATCCTTCCTAGCCAGTTTAGCCGATGGTTCTGGAAAGGGCAGGGATTCAGGACAGGTTCATTACTCAGCTTCCAGAAATACGTGCTCTTCCTACTGGAAGAATGAGATTCAGCGCAAACAGGTGCTGTTCACAGCCAGGAGGGCCCCCCTCCATCAAGGAAATGCCCGGGTGACCTTGGCCAAGAGGAACACCCACAAGGCCTGGCTAAAGCCTCCGGGATTCAGCCCGAGCCTGCAAGCTTCTCGGCACAGCCGGAAATGAACGGCCCAAACCGGCTGCAGCCCCAGGTAGGCATTCGCTTGCTGGTGAACTCCGAGGGCTTTGTTATCAGTGGCAACAAAAGCAAACGGTGATTCAGGAGCAGGTGGACGGTGTTTTGCCCTCCCCACTGCTCAGAGTTCTGGATGGACTGTTTGGGGGATGAGCACCTGGGGGAGTGCAGAGGGAGGGAGGGAAAGAAACCCACCCACCTCAGGCAGGAATGGAAGTGATGTAGCCCCCATGCATGGTGGGAAATTTAAGGCGATTTCTAGTGGATGGGTCCCGGCGGAACCAGGAGGGAATGGCGTTCTTCGCTCTTTTTTTTTTACAATTAGGTGATAGTTTCCGATTGCTCCCAAGCGGGTAGCTACAGGTTTGCCTTTCCACAAGCCAAAGGGCAGCAGCAAATTGACACAAATGAATGGGGGGGGGGCTGGTTAGGTTCCTCAGTGTGTGCCCAGAAACACAACTGGCACCTTGGTGCTGAGTGGCACTTTGCTGCCACAACGCGTACGCCATTTGGGTTACCTAAGTGGAAATCACCAGTTGGATGGTGTCCAAGGAGTTTTATTTGGCAGAAATGTTGGCAGATCGGCGCCTGCTTCAGCTGCGGGCTGGACACCTGAGGAAGCAGAGGCGGCCGTCCACAGAAAGGTGAACATGGACTCCAACGGGTTAGTCCGTCAACTGCTGCAGGGCTCTCTGGAGTTCAAGGAAGAAAACAGGGCTCAGAAAAGTTATGTTTTGGGACTGTGAAGATTCTAGGAGAAGTCACTCAAAAAGTAACTTCCCAGGTTCACCCAGGCCTTGCAAAAGACTTTTCCTGACCATGTTTGTATTATGTGCTGTCACATTACATCTGAAGGTTTTTCAAAGCACCCGGGATGGGCAAGGAATGGTTAACCATTGCCACCCCCTGTGAGTGGCTTGGGCCAAGCGAAGGTTTGAACCCAGACCTCCTGAGTCCCAGCCCAACATTTGATACACAACACACACAGGCTGGCTGGCTGGCTCCTTTTACAGTGGTGCCTCGCTAGACAGTTACCCTGCATGGCGTTTTTTTCCGCTAGACATTGACTTTTTGCGATCGCTATAGTGATTCGCAAAACAGCGATGCCTCTGGGGGAATTTCGCTGGACAATGTTTGGTCCCTGCTTTGCAAACCGATTTTTGCTAGACGACGATTTTGACAGCTTCCTCCGCGCTCGCAAAACAGGTGTTTTCGGGACCTAAGCTTCGCAAGACAGCGATTTAAACAGCTGATCGGTAGTTCGCAAAGCGGCTTTCCTATGGCTGATCTTCGCTAGACAACGACGATTCTTCCCCATTGGAACGCATTAAACAGGTTTCAATGCATTCCAATGGGGAAATGCTTTTCGCTAGACAATGATTTCGCTAAACAGCAATCTCAGTGGAATGGATTATCATTGTCTAGTGAGGCACCACTGTACTTGGTTGGAACGACCTAGTTCTACTCTGCTCCCAAAGCCAAGAGGATGTTGTTCTGCAGGAGAACTGTACCCACAAACAGCCACTTTTCTAAGCGAGGAGAAGCAGGATTGGTGGGTGGACAAGGAGAGGTGGACAGAGAGAGAGAGGTTTCCAGGAAGGAAGGGAAGAAGACTCTCTCGCCAGAGAAGGGCAGGAGCTGCCCATGGCTGAGCCAAAGAGCCACCTCCCCCCCCCGCACAATATAGCCCCACTTTCCTCCCACTTGTCCTGGCCCTCCCGTTCCCCATAACCTCCAAGACCCCTCTTCTGCCAGGCGTGAAAACATGCCGGGTGGTTAATGGGCACAGGAACGGCAGGGTCAGGGGGTTAGGCCTGTATGATCAGAATGTGCCTCTCCCATCGTAAGCCCCTCTCTCTGAAAGGGCCGACTTTCACACCAGGGTCAAAGCCTCTGTGGCAGAAGGAGGAGGAGGAGGAGGAGAGGAGGGCAGAGGCACCCAGCCACGGCGGGCTTGCACAGCGGAAGAGCTGGAGGGGAGGGCGTGGAGAATGGGGCAGATGGCAGGAGACGTCCAGGGGGGTCAGAGGGAAACTCACACTCTGGCCTGGGAGAACGGCTTTGGTCCAGGAGGGCCCCGGCTCAGCCCCAAACCAAGGAAATCGGCTCCCGGCACCCCATCACCCCAACATTTTGAATCCCAACACAACTGAGAGAGGACCCCGTCATCTCCTTCATGCATTTTTTTTAAACAACGACTTTATAATTTTTGCTAGCCTTGCCTTTAAGAAAACGAAACGTTTCAGAAAGCCAGTTGTTTGCCCCTCCAGGTCCAGATTGAAGCCGTTCAGTTAAGGCCCTTGTCGTGCAGGGCTGGTGGCTTTTCAAGGGGGGGGGGAGGCTGGTCCTTTAAGAACACCAGCATTCGAAACCTGGCTTTTTCCTGCCACGGGACTACCGGCTGCCGAAGCCAACGCTCACAAAGCCACCTCCGGAGCAGTGGCAGCCACCTCCGGAGCAGTGGCAGCCACCAGCCCCACAGGACGAAGCTGCCAGGCAGTTTTCCTTTTAATCTTCTTTTTAAACGTTCTGGCGTTTGGCACCAACCTTGGCAAGTTGCCAGCACCCTTCCTTGCTCCTGGATTGCGGTGGCGGGCTTTGCTGGATGAAAGACGCTTTGGTGTCTAAATCCCTCTTCTGACCTTTTCGTTCTGGGCGACCTGGATGAATGTGTTCCAGAATTTTTGATTTCTCTTTTTGCTCCGTAGAAGTACAGAGATCTATAGGGGGGAACTAAGTTCTCCAGTGTCCACACTATTCTCAGAGGTTCAAGAACTCACTCTGAGATAGTTGTAGGAGGAAGAATAAACTTTTTTTCCTTTACTTACAATTGCTTGGAATTGCAGTCTTGCGTATACTGC